AGGTGGTGGAGGAGGAGGAGGATGAGAGGTACGTTATGAGATGCTCGATCCCCCCCTCCTCGTCCAGCACTTTGGCGTTGTTCTCGTGGTTCTCGATGAGGTCTGAGATGAGGGAGATGAGAGCATGGAGAAACCTCCCCGTATCCTGCTGCTGCTGCTGCTGCTGCTGCTGCTGCTGCTGCTCCTCCTCCTCCTCCTCCTCCTCCTCCTCGCGCATCATCTTACACAGTCTCCTGGTCATCCCGCTGGAGTGGAAGAAATCCTTCATGCGTGTAGCTAGCAAGACGTTCTGCTCCTCCTCCCGCTGATCTGATGGCTCTCCATGCTGATATCCATCCCCATCCTCGTCGTATCCTCCCCTCTCATCGCCCTTCCCGTCTCTCTCCTCCCCTTCCTGCTCGCCATGACCATAGGGCAGGAGCTGCTCCCTAATGGAAATGGTGGAATTCTTCCCGAACCTCAACATGTCGAGGAGGAGAGTGAGTGACATCTCAACTGAAACTCTGTCAGCCCTCATCCTCCTGCTTGTCCAAGTCTTGCTGAGACTTTCACACTCCTCCTCCTCGTCGTCGTCGTCGTTTCCTTCCCCCTCATGCTCCTCCTCTCGCTTCCTGCCTCCTTCCCCTCCTTCCATCGTCTTGTTTCTCTCCTTCCTCAGGCGTTTTCGTTCTCTGCTGAAGCTCCAGACATGCACAATCTCCTGCTGGAGGATTAGAGGAGAGGAGAGGAGAGGAGAGGAGAGGAGAGGAGAGGAGAGGAGAGGAGAGGAGAGGAGAGGAGAGGAGAGGAGAGGAGAGGAGAGGAGAGGTCGCTTACAGCAAGACGAAGATAGCCTTCTTCCGAAGCGAGGACGAAGAAACCATCTGAGAGCTGTGAGAAGGAGGAGGAAAGAATGAGAGAGGAGAGGAAAAGAGAACAAGACAAGGGCAGAGGAGGAGGGCAGAAACAAAACTACAAACCATCAAAAACTCGCAAGAGGGTTACGAGGGCTGAGAGGGCCCATCCTTGTTGTGACAGCAGACATTCTTGCAAACTTCGAAGCCTCTGGCCGAGCAAGTCAGGCGCTGAAGCAGAGAGGAAGAAGGAGATACGGGAGAGCAAAACTACATTCATCTCGTCTCGAGCTTCTCGTCTCAATGTCCCATCACAATCAAGTGAACAAACAACTCATGGTCCTCAGCATACACCGCACTGGATGACAACACAGACCCGCACAGCTCGGCACCTGCTTCAACCTTGCGATCTCGGTCAGGGCTCGCTCCTTACGAACAAACGTAAGATCCCTCGCGTCAGCCTTCACTGATGTTGTCAACGACTTGACAAGCTCTGTATTCTTTTCCATTGACTTCTCCACCTGACCGTCGAGACCTCTCAGGAAGCTCCTGACCTCCTCCCTTCTCACCTCCAGCACAGCCGATGCCAGCACGCTCTCATACGAGGCTGCTGAGAGGCAGTAGCTGATCGCGAACGTGTGGAAGGAAAAATCCCTGAGGTCACCGAGGGTGAAGAACTTGTTGTCGAGTTTGCAGAGGACGCTGATCATCTCACAACATCTTCCGCACAAGACTGCAGAGCAAACTTCATCCATCATGTCGCAGGAACCGACTCTCAGCACACCTGAGTCGGCAACAAACAGGTTGTGTTCTAATGTGCTCATTACTGCTGAGAGGACATCTCGATTGATCTGAAAGCTCTTTCCTACCTTGGGGTACGCGCGGTAGGAGTGGATGATGCAAGTCAGAGCGCTTTCTCTGCCACTGCGATCAGCCGCCTTCCTTCCCGTCATCATGTCCACTGACCGCACGTCGTACATGCTCTTCTCCACCGACCTGTCTTGTAGCTGTTGCCTCGTGTAGAAGATCTTGGCGCTGGTCGACAAGAGTCAAGGAAGGACAGCAGCACGAGGACTCACTTGAGGTAGATCTGTAGCAAGAGCTTCACCCCGCTGAAGTCATGTACCGCCCTGGCAGCGTTCACTTGTGCACTGCCATAGCTCCTGTCGCCCACCGCTCCTCGACATGCTGTGGGCTCAGGACCCAACAACCCTTGCAGCTCCTTGACCTGCGGAGAAGTCAGATGGGTAACCATGGCTGCTAGCTCGCCATCTCGAAGGTCTCCATGGCCGAAACCATGGCAGGCGAGTTAGGATCGAACTCAACGATGTTGTCGAGGAGATTCTCAATAAAATCTGAGGGAAGCAGGAGCGATGTGAGCGAGGAAGAAAAAGAGAAAAAGGAGCAGGAGAAGAACGTGAGAGTGGTCGAGGATGAGGATGAGATGAAGAATTGAAGGAAGTGGGGGTGAAGGGACGGAGCAAGGAACGGAGCAAGGGACGGAGCGAGAGAGAAGAAGTCTATATTACATGTGGAGGTCAACCCCGGAGACCTGTCAAGAGGGGAGACGATGGAGGAGGAGACATGAGGAGAGGTTCGGTGCGGACTGGACATGTTCGTCCATGTCTGCTCGAGGTTCCTCGTCGTGCCCATCCTCTTTTGCTCCTCTGCCGCCCGCAGCTTCATCAGCAGCTCTCCCGCCCCCACCATTGCGCTCTCAACTCCCGCCCGATTGTTGGGATGGAGGTGGGTCCTCTAAGAGTTCAAGAGGGGGGTGGGGTCATTTGATTCGAGTTTGACATGCCGAAAATTCTAGGAAGGGAAATGCACTTGGACGGAGGGGGGGGAGGAGGAGGAGGAGGAGTAGGAGCAGGAGCAGGAGCAGGAGCAGGAGCAGGAGCAGGAGCAGGAGCAGGAGCAGGAGCAGGAGCAGGAGCAGGAGCAGGAGCAGGGAGAGCAGGAGGGGGAGCAGAGCTATACAAGTTCCATCTTAATCATGCGAGGATGAACTTCGGCAAAGAGGAAGCGACCAGTGGAAGCATAGCAATGGAGAGAAGCTCGCGTGACGAGGAGCTTGCGATCCTCTCGCCGTCCTCAGGATGGAGCACGACCATCAGCTCCTCGCACATGCAGGATGTCGGAGTACCGACACCGAGGAATGTCGGGGTGGCGACACCAAGGGATGCGAACACATCCTCCAAGGAGCACAGGACCGGGTTGATAGAGGGAGGTAGCGGTGCAGGAGCACAGTTAACACTGGCGGTGAAGGCATGGAGCAGGGACAAGCATGAAGGCTTGACGTGATCTTGTTGTTCTCCTGCTGCCCTTGTGCTCAAAGAGATGGCAGGACCACAATCGGCGCATTGAATCAAATCGTCCGTTGCATCAAACTGAACGACGGGGTTGAAGGACAGAACATGAAGGCGGTAGAAGAGATGCTGGGAGACCAGGAGGTCCTCAACGCAATGTCGGAGATGTTCAGGGGCCCTTCAGGTCTACAAGACAAGGTCTGACTCATGGCTTCTCCTCTCTACCTGACGCGACCCCTCAGATCCTGGAAGTTTGCTACAACATTGCAAACACTCGAGTAAGCATTGCAAACAGCTTCCAAGAGTCTTGAGTCACTTTGACCTCCTGCTGCAGGCCCTTCGTTTCAAGATCCTCCACAGTGGAATCCTGCAAGGGTTGGCTGCTGTCCTGCTCAAAGACGGTCAACCGACGACCAACGTACAGGCGCATCTTGCTGCAGTGATCCTAGAGAGTCTGGTGAGTTGCTTCTCCAGCTGAAGTTCAGCTCTGACGTCAGGTCAGTCGCACTCCAACGACGAGGGGAAGGAAGTGATCTGCTGCTCCCGAGGGCTCCTGCGAGGCCTCGTCAAGAGTCTCAAGGTGTCGACGAGGGGTCAGACGAATGTGATGAAAAATGTCGCGTGATGAAGATGATGGTCATGCAGGCTCAACCTTGCATCCTGTCGGCGATGTCAAACTTGACAAGAAGTCCGAAGCAGGTGAACGCGTTGAGATGTGCGGGAGAGCTTCGGTGCTGATGGTTTGCGGGAGGCATGGAGGATCGCGTATAGCAAGGAGTTTGATGGAGCTATTGCTGAATGTCTCAAGTACCCCAAAGACCCGCACTCCCTACAACTTTGCCTCCTCCTCGTTCGCAATCTTTGTAAGATCTCAGCAGCGAGGAAGGGGTTTGACAAGTATTGGAATGAGACCAAGGAAGCGATCTTGCAAAGATGCAAAGAGAGCAACGTCAACGAATTACGGTCGTTGTTGATGTTCCCTTTCAAGTGAGAGAGTGACCCGTTGGACAGGGAGTCTTACCTTCAGATGAAGGATTGTCTTGTAAAAGGTGACGATCGATTGTCCTCCTCGAGCTCGAACTCGGAAGATACAAGTTTTGGAGTCAGTGAAATTGATCAGAGTGAGAGGAAATCAGGTGATTGAAGGCGGAGAAATATTCATGTGTTGGGTTGTGAGAGTGTGAGCTGATTTTTTCTATTTCAACGACGATGGAAATATTCATGTGTTGGGTTGTGATAGTGTGAGCTGATTTGTAATATTTCAACGACGATGTTGTCATACGCACGTCAATGTCGAATGTCGAATGTCGATATGACGATGTGATAATGTTGTTTCATGTCTTGAGCTTCACGCAGACAAACTCTCAAGCAAGTATGTTGACGAGGACAAGATGGAAATGAGCGAGAGCGAGCAAAGCCTGGAGGACGAGGGAAAGTCGGACGAGGCTGAAGCCAGCGATACTGCCCATGATGAAGATGAGATGGTAGATGAAGGGGAAACATTGGAAAAGGAGGAGGAGGAGAAGGAGGAGAGGGAGAAGGAGAAGGAGGGGATGACAGAGACGATTGAGATTGAGAAGTTTAAGAATGGACACGAGTTGGATCAGAAGGAAGTCAACAATGACATGGAGGATCAACGGGAGGAGATGCAAGAAGAGAGGGACAAGGAGAGCGTGCTTCAGAACATGGTGGCGGAGCAGCACGCAGTGAAGGAGGCGAAGGACAGGTACGAGGGCGTTTTCATCCCCAAGCTGGATATCTCGCGGGCAGGAAGCAGCACGAGCTTGAATCTTTCTGCTCGCCGTCTCCCTTCAGTCCCTCGTTCTTGCGACAGCCCTCGGGTAGTTGAGTTCTCCACCAACCCCATCAGAGAGCGGAGGACGATCGGCCTGCCTGCCATGGAGGAGAAGAGGGAAGGGAATAGGAGGGCGACAAGGATCGAGAACCACCAGACGCAGTCTCCTCCTCCTCCTCCTGGCCCTCGTGAAGGATCCTATTTCAAGCAATCATCCATCGCGTCTCCTCCCTTGCACACGCCCAGGCTGCTAGCCATCCCCATCTCTCTTGATAGTCCGCGATGTGACTTGAACTCGTCAGACCCGCGGCAGAGGAGTAGGCGAGGGGAAAGCGGAGGGCGGAAAGAAGCAAGTCCGAGGTCAAGCGACGACCCCATGGTGGTGGAGGGAACATTGCTGGAGGAAGAGGAAGAGGAAGAGGAAGAGGAAGAGGAAGAGGAGTGGAAGAACGCAGAAACAGCACACGGACGAGAGCAAAAAGAACAACTCGCAGACGACGAGAAAGGTGGCAACCGACATTCAAGACAGGAGGAGGATGAGCAGCAGCAGCAGCAGCCGGAGGTCGGAGGAGCAATCAGCATGAGCGAGTCTCTCGTGCTGGAGTCAGAGCTAAAAGATTCTTGCGATCCTCTCAGCCTCTCTTTGGACTCAACCAGGGCGAGTGAGACGAACAGGGAGGAGGATGCTTCTTCATCGCAACAGCTCCTCGTCATCAGGCATCCCATGCCCTCCCTCGCGCATGGTGGCCAGCCGACAGCAGGGGAGGGGAGGAGGAGGAGGAGCACACCGCAGGTCATATCTCCTGTCAAGACCTTCCTCAGCCCCAGGGCGGACAAGGGTAGATCCCTCGTCCTCGAGGTTGGGAGGGACGCGCGTCAGAGCGAGCAGGAGCAGGACGCTGATCCTGATCCTCTCGTCCGCTCGTCCTCTCGCCACCTCGACTGGGCTGCTTGCCAGCTGCAGGCGAGACTTCGGATGGCGATCCAACGGTCCTGCGCATTCTCACCGCGGTCGAGTCGAGGCTACGACTACACAAGCTCCGAAGCTACTGAGAGGTGAAGGACATGTTGTACTACTGCATGTTCGACGTCTTCCCGTCCTCCTCCTCCTCTCTGCCTTCCTTTGCCAACCCTGTGTTTCTCTTCCTTCCATGTTGCTGCGATTCCTCCTCCCCCTCCTCCCTCTCCTCTCACTTCCTGCCATGTCCCTGGATCCTCGTCTCGCTCACTTGCGCAGCAGAAAGAAACGACGAGACGTGCCTGTAGTCCTGTGGTCGGGCAGGAAACCTTCCTCCCCATCCCCCTCTTCCCCCAGTCCTTCTGCTCGCTTCCCTCCTGCCCCCCTCCCCCTCAGCCACCAGAGCGTTCAGGAGCAGCCCGGGGCGACGAGACATGACCGGGAGGAGAAGGAGGAGGAGGAGAGGAGGAGGAGGAGGAGGAGGAGGAGGTTGAGCCGGGAGGGTGAGCGCAGCACGAGTAACGTCTGAGCATGGAGCAGGTGGTTCGTGTGCGAAGGGTTCAGCTGCTACAGGGTTACGTGCGGAGTTCTGGAGCAGAGGACGCAAGACAAGTCAGGACTCGTGCTGTACCTCACAGACGTGTGATGTTGATGATGCAGGTGCTGCTAGCAGCTTCTATCATCAACCGGAGCCTTCGGAACTGCATCGCAAGGTCAACCAGACCCCTTTCTCCTCCTCCTCCTCCTGTTCCTCCTCCTTCACCACCACACCTCCACCTCCACCTCCACCTCCACCTCCACCTCCACCTCCTCCACCACCACCACCTCCTCCTCCTCCTGTTGTCTCTCCATGAGCTGCTCTACCAGGAAGGAGCTGCGGCTTCTCCAGACCTGCCGGGTCGTCCTGCAGTCGGAGGAGAGCTGTCTACTCCGCATAGCTGAAGAGAGCGTGAGGGATTCAGCGGTACCAGCCTGCCCAACTCACTCGTCGACCCCATGCAGGAATCAGAGGCTGAGCGAATTTCATGCAGAGCGATCGAGCAGTTTGGTCGGTTCATCCTCCGCCACTGCCTCCAGCATTCATCCTCTCCTCCTCCTCCTCCTCCTCCTCCCCCTCCTCCCCCTCCCCCTCCTGCTGAACCAGCCTCCCTCCTAATCCCCCCTCCAACTCTCCATCGCATCTCAGCTCCTCTCCTCCTCTCCTCACTCACCCATGATCTGACACCTAAACTCCAGCTGGACTCTACCAGGACATGTCCTGGAGCAGCACGACCCGGTCGTTCGCGCCGCACGTGAAGCTGCCGACCTCCGCCCTCCTCCTCTCCTCCGTCTCTCGCATCCTCACTAGCGCCGTCCGCTGGATCAAGGACGAGCAGGCTGGGAGGGCAGCGGAGGCATCCCAGCAGGTGAGATCGACTTCACTCGCTCCTCTCTTCCTCACCCTCCTGCAGCTTCTCTCTGACTTCCTGCGAACCTGTCCGCGCCATCGAGGTCTGGTGCAGGAAATATTCGTGAAGGAGCCGGATCTTCTGAAGGTTCCGTTGCCTCCTCTTTCCGTCCACCACCACCACCACTACCACCACCTCCTCCTCCTCCTCCTCATTCTCCCCTTCCCTCCCATCCCTCGCCTCCTCCTCCGCCTGCCTTGATGTGCTGGTTCAGGTCCTCATGTCTCGCTTGCTAAGGGGGAGGCGAGAGCAGAAGCATCTAACGGCTGAGCTGATCGCGAGCATGGCGATCGGGTCCAAGGTTGACGGTAGAGGAGGAAGAGGTGGCTGACTTGGCTGGTAGTCTTGACCTGACGCAGGCGTTCACCTGCTCCACTCCCTTCATCGCTGTCGGGCGAGGTTGGACGAGTTGATAAGTGCGAGTGAATGAAGTATAAGATCTGATCGACACATGCTGAATGAAGTATAAGATCTGATCGACACATGCTGAATGAAGTATAAGATGTGATGGACACATGCTGAATGAAGTATACGACTTATAGGGGGGGTTGGGGGTAGGGGTGGTTGAGACTCACAGAAGTCAAGCGACAAGATTTTGATGGCGGCGGTGCGGAGGGAAGAGGATGGGGGAAGAGGAGGAGGAGGAGAAGGAGGAGGAGACTGAAGTTGAAGATTCAGAAAGAAGTAGACGAGGAGCAGGAGTTGTGCGTTCAAGCTTCAGTCTCCTGTTACTACTTCTAGCCAACTCCTAGGCAGAACAGATCGTGCTTGTGATATCGTGTACAGTCACAAGTCGATATTGTAAGAGTTGCAATCGAGGGAGCAAAAGACGTTTGGATCATAGCAAGCCAGAAGGCATTTGAAATCCGGAGAGAGCGATTGGAGTTGATACAATCAGGCTTGTCATAAAGCGCCTGCCTCAAGAAGGATGGTAAGGAAACTGCAGCGAGGGGAAAGGGGCAGAGCTCTGGCATTCAGTGTGATCATGCTGCTCCTAGCCCAGGGTGTGGATGGCCAGCTCTGCGCCTTCCAGCCCATCATCATCGCAGGCTCCTCCATCAGCGGTGTGGAAGACACCCCACTCAGTGTGTACCAGCAGTGGACGGCGATTGGAGGGAGCGCCCAGGGCAAGCTTTACAGCAAGTCATGCGCGAATGACGGGAACTACATTAACTGGAACAACGTGACGATCATGAGAGCGGTCTTCTCCGTCAAGTACGGCAAGCTGTGGCTCGCGCCAGGTTACCCGAGCTGCGGGGTTATCATCGACCAGAACACCAAGTTCGACACGCAGATGGAAGCGCTCACCAGGGTGTTTAGCTTCATCTCCAACGTTGATGGCGTCAACTGCATCATCCGGCATCTCTACTACCAGGGCCTCCCAAACGCCAACCAGGCGACCCAGCGCAACCTGTACGGGGAGCAGCCGCAGCTCGTGATCCAGGTCGTCCCAACCTGCCAGCACGATTTCGTTCCGATCTGCATCGGAGCGCAACCAGGAAGTCCGTCAGATTGCGCGACGCAGGACAAGGCGCTCAAGTGTGCGGCTGGGTCGGGCCAGTGCGTCAGCTGCACGTGCTCGAGCGTGGATACGCAGCCTCCGTTCTGCGGGGCTGAATTCACCGCGACGTTCACAAGCACGACAGCAATCAACTTGTCGCCAGTGGAGGACCTGCCGTTCCTGCAGAGTTGCCCTTACATGTCCTTGGTGAACAGATCCTCTCTGCAGTACTTGACGTCCCCGAGTGACTTCTGGTCGAAGAGTGAGGGAGGTCCCAGGTGCTCGGCCGTGCCCATCCAAAGTGCTCCTGCAGTTTACACAGGTAGCAATGCCGCTACTCAGATCTTCCCGGTATACATGCATCCCTCCTACTGCGGGGACGGGTGTGCGGGTTATCCCATCAACGCGCAGTTCTGCTTGCCCAATGCTGGCTCGTACGCCTATCACATCGAGGACTTGGAGGCCGTGGACTTGATGTTCAACGGGATCTACATCAACGACCTGGACTTTACGACGGGCCAGCTCCAGATGTCAAACTTCTTCGTCATTCCTGCTGGACTCATCGTGGGGAACTTCCAAGGAGCAGGGTCCATCACTCCTCCCCCTGCGATCTCCTCCTCCAGTGGGACCATGGGGTCGTATTGCGCCATTGCGAAACCTTTCTCAACATGCGCAACGGCGGTGTCGTCGAGCACGTTCGGCAACCTGCCGGTGTTGCAGGCGGACAAAATGCGATTGAGAATCGTAGCCACGACCGTCCGCCCGCTGAACTCTGCCGGAGGATGCGACTTGTCAGCTCAGCCCCAGCTGGCGTGCTCCCTGGTCAATCAGCAGTGCTCCTGCCGGAGCCAGACGTACTCTGTGCAGGGCAGCAACCGCAGCGTGATCCTCTTCTATGAGCTGTTCTCGACGGTTGACAACAACACCTTGGAGACAGGGTACATAGACTTCAACATGTTTCAAGCTGCAGGAAGCTCGTTCGACACCGTCAATGGGCAGATGTTTGCTGACCCAGGGAGAGTTTACTCTGCCGCCCTCCAGCAGTCTGTTGACTGGTTTGCTGCATCGCCGATGACCGTGTCTGGCGTCTACAACAGATCGACTGAGACCCTGCAGCTGAGTAACATCAAGACTTCACCGCAAGTCAACCCAACGTTGACTCTGACAGTCGCAGCCAAGTACGGAACTCTCACGCTGCAAGGTAGCCATGTTCAGGTTCTTCTTGTACACTCTTGGTTGACCCCTGATGCAGGAAGCGGATCGAAACTTGTGACAGACTCTAGGACGATGAAGACGATCGAGGGGACTGTCGATGAGGTCAACTTAGCCATCTCAAAGTTGAAGTATTCTGTCCCGGGACCGAGCATCTTTCCTTACCTCAACACGATGACAAGTGTCAATGGCGTGCGGCATGAGGAGATCCTCTCCATCGACGTCTTCAACACCCTCAACGCTTCCTCGAGGGTGCAGCTCAATTTCTCCATCGTGATTGTCGCTGTCAACAACGCGCCTAACATTGCCGTCCAAAGTTCGTACGAGATGGCTCGCCAGGACCAGGACTTCCTCGTCCCCAACCTCGTTCTCACCGACCCGGACGCTGAAGAGATCTTGCTCGGTACGTTGACTCTCGTTCCACGTCGCTGAAGCCTCCCAAGATTGCCTCTTAATGTTGACACGCTCTTGACCAGGTCAAACGGCCCCCAAAGGAGGAGCTCAGATATCACTGCAGCTGAGCTGCAAGTATGGGACTCTCAGAGTAGCGCAGCTGACAGCAAGCAACGACATGCACTTCTACCTGAGCAGCGGGGACGCAGCCTGCGCCAAAGTCTGCGCCAGCATGCCCAAGTCGCTGCCCGACCTGACGACCCTCCAGCTCTTGCCCAGCACCTGCCAAGATTGCATGCAGGCAGAGGGACTGAGAAGAGCTCGGGAGGGAGGGAAGGAGATCTCGCTGTTCGCCAACCTCGAGACGGGCAAGCGCTTCCTGGGGAATCTGACCTATCGGGGAGACCCTGGATACAACAACAAGACGGTCGACTCCGTACCAAGTGGGCTGGTCTGTGAGACTGCGATGCGTCCGCACACAGAGTCGAAGGATCAGATCGTCATGTCGGTGTACGATCTGGGCAACACAGGATGCACAAACCAGCTGGTCAAGAGCGGGACGAGCAGGATCGTCGTTGAGGTCGTGGGAGGAGACGACACGCCGACTGTCGCCCTCTACGAGGACGGGAAGGATGTGTGCACGGGCTGCGGGTCCAACCAGACCTGCTGCTCCTCGAAGCAGGTCGTAGTGGCCTCAGAGGACACGATCCTCTCCTTCAGCGAAAAGTTTCAACTCGTGCTCCAGAGCAGCGACTCGATGAACTTTGACTTTCCCACCTATCGCTTCCAGCTCCAGCTCACGGCAAGGTACGGGAAGTTCTCTTTCAAGGGCAGCACGTCCTCGTTCATAACTGCCAACAACCCCCTCGAGTCTTACTCCCTTTCCGCTGACAAGCGAGTGCTGACGGCAACGAACTCCATGTGCAGGCTGAATCAGCTCTTGCAGCAGACGCAGTACCTGCCTGACCCCAACTTCAACTCTCTCCTCAAGGTCTTCGACCAGCTGCAAGTCAAGATCGCACAGGTCTTCCCAGCTACCAGCCAGGTGGGCTCCACCTCCACCTTCCCAGTCGACGTCAGAGCGGTCAACGACCCGCCCAACCTGTACCTCAACTCGGACTTGACAGGGTCCAGCTCCCTGCTGCAGCCTGTCCACCAGGTTGAGACGGAGACGTACGACTTCTTCGAGGGGGGCGAGCAAGGGTCCAAGTGCCCCGCAGGACAGAAGTGCTTCAGCATCTCAGACATCGACATCTGCGAGCAGAAGTACCTGAGCTTCAAGGTCTTCCCCTCCTCCATGGACGAGATTGCCATGCTCACGGGCGCGGTCTGCGCCAGGACGGTGCCGGACGGCGAAGGCAAGGGAGACATGCTGGTCACCTTCCAGTCCAACATCGGCAGCATCTGGTTCTTCTCGAGGTACGAGTGGCAGTTGAGGCAGGGAGGAGGCGACGTCTCCGACGCTGCCTGGCTCGCGTTCGTGAAGAAGGTGAGGCCAGACGACAGCGCAGGGAAAGAGAACAGAGTCGTCAACATGACGAGGCCGCTGCCCTACTTCAAGGGAGGTCTCCTCCGCTACTACGCGTCAAGAGATTATGCGCAGACTGACAACATCTCCATCGCCCTCAACGACTTGGGCAACACTGGCGGTCCTGACCCCTCCCGCTCCAAGTTCTGCTGCTGCTCCGACAGGAGCTGCAGCACCTGCAGCTCGCAGGATTGTAACCTGCAGCTCGCCGTCTCCTCCTGCAGCAAAGTGCCGGGCTGGACCTGCCGAGACAAGGTGGTCTTCACAGACACGGGGCTGTCAGACTTGTCCGTCACTGCCATCACTGTTGCCGTCGGCTTCGCCTTCCTCCTCCTCGCCTCCTCCCTCAGCTTCATCGCTGTTGGGGATAGCGGATTCAAGGCAGGGGTTGGAGCCGGAGCGAAGCTGGAACAGTACCAGGTCGCCATGTAGTCAGCGACTCTGAGAGTTCATGTGTGTCTTAGTGCCAAGTAAGTGATGACAACAGCTTGTGTGATTTACAGCCTCGTACTCAAAGTTAACTTAAAAATCAGTACGAGGACAACTTGATCAAGAGAAAAGAGGAGAGTCGATAGTGCACAACGGTCACGAGTCGATTTTTCGCTCAGGCCAGCGGCTTGTTCCGCGGCGGAACAGTCATGGTGAGACTCGTAGCCGAGGCCCGGGCTGTGGCCCTTGACTCCTCGGAGAGACTCAGAGCCGGGGCCCGGCCTGGGCTGTGGCCCTTCAATGAACACTCGGAGAGAGCCGGGGCCGGGCCGGGCCGGGCCGGGCGCCGCCGCATCCGATGATCCAACAGGCACCAGTCAACCCCACCCCCACCCCGTCAAAGCAACACCAAAACTACCAGTACCACCCTTCAAATCCGAATCTCGTACCCCACCCCCTGAAAATTTGAACTTCTTATGATCTGAGAAGGGGTACTGGATTGGTGAGAAAGCGGGGGTCTAAAACGAGGACATTAGGTAGGGTACTTTTGAAATAGTACGGGTAGATTGTAGGAAATTTGGGGGTGAGGGTACGTTTATGGCTTTGAAAAGGGGGGTAGGGTGAGTAGGGTCTGTTGGAATTCAATTCAAGTGATCGATGCAGAGGGGGAGGAGTATGGCAAAAGGGGAGGGAGAAGAGGCTTGCGATCGGATCCAACACCTGCACTCCATGAAATTTTCATGACTGTTACAATCGACACCATCTTATCCCTGTTCCTGTTTGTGAAATGTGAGATTTCGGCTCTCCAGAGCGCACGATGTCTTTGCACGCCTGGCACGCCTTTGAAAGCGTCAAGGAGAATACGAGTAGGAGCAGACCATGTTATTGCAGAAATATGTACTTGTGTTGAAAAGCCTGGTCTTGATGATGACAAAGGAAGAGAAGAAAATGATAGGGTCATATTCACAAGGAAATATTTAGCTTGCGAATATTGTTTCATCGAACGACTTGTGATTGACCTTTTCCCCGTCGGGTTGATAACTTGAACCGTTCCCTTTGATCTTCACAATTTCTTTTGATGACCTGATGGATGTTTCGTTGATTATTAACCTTCAGGGTCTAGCAAGTCGACAAGTTTCGACAATGCCACAGGTCATTCTTTCCGGACCGCAATTTTCTTCTTAGTTTATTTCAGGCACCGATGGATGAGAGGGTAGGAACGAAGCGCAGGGCCCTTCAGGCTGTCGACATGAATCGTGGGATTCGCAATGTCAGGCAGAAGGGCAAGGTTCGTTGCCACAGGACTTCAGTGCGTTTGCCTGAAAGATTTGTAGGGTGAGGCTGATGTGGTTTCCTGTGAAGACAAGGTCTCTCAGAGAGAGCTTCGTCATAGAGCCCGAGTGCAAGTAAGTCGATTCCTTGATCACAATCCTAGAGAATCACTGAGATGACCTGCAGTCCAAGGGAGTGGAACCCCTGAATGCTGAGACCACAGAATGTCCGCAAGCGAACAATGATTCCAAAGAGAGTGATGTTCAACTCAAGGAGACAGAAACGACTCAACCTGTACAAGAACAAACCGAGCGAGATGTTCAAAGTGATGCCACTGTCGATGCTGGAACCTCAGAAAAGGCAGAAGACTTGCAGCAAGTGTCGATGCAGGATTCGAAGGTCGCGGAAGAGACACCTTCCGCAGTCGTTCCGGAAGAAGCAGATCCGTCCATAACAAACGTGGAGCTGCCTGACCCTTTCGACATTGACTCCAACGACACTGGCAATCAATTTGCTGTCACCGAATACTTGAGCGATATTCACAGAATGCTGCGAGATAATGAGGTGAAGAATTTCACTCTGGTGCCATGACCGATAACATGGATGTCCAGGAGCGTTGTATAATTGATCATACCTACATGAATCGACAACCAGATATCAACGCAAGGATGAGAGTCATCTTGAATGATTGGTTGATCGAGGTTCATTTGAAGTTCAAGCTACGCCAAGAAACTCTCTACCTCTGCTTCCAGCTCATCGACCGATTTCTAGAGCGCAACACTGTTCCAAGACAATCTCTGCAGGTTTGAATTCGTGAAGAATGCTTCCTTGCCCTGCTTTCCACTCACTTCAGTGCCAGCTCGTTGGAGTCACTGGCTTAATGCTTGCTAGCAAGTACGAGGAGATCTATCCGCCGGAGATCAGAGACTATGTCTACATCTGCGATAATGCTTACACCAGAGATCAGATTCTGAAGATGGAGCAGACAATGTTGGATAAGTTGAACTACACCCTCTCGTTGCCAACTTGCTGGTCCTGGATGAAACGATTTGCGAAGGCTGCTCACAAGGAGAATGACCTGGAGTTCTTTCATCTACTCTCTTACATGATCGAGTTGTCATATTTTCAGATGAAGATGTTGTCATACAGGCCTTCAATGCTTGTTGCGGCATCTGTTTGTTTCGCAAAGAAGGTTTGCTTTGAAATTTGCCTGAACGTTTGTGACAATCTTTCAGATGTTGAAGGAAGATCCTGAGTGGAGTGAGGTTTTGCAGCATCACACCGGATACGAAATGGAGAATATGGTGATCTAATGATCCTTCCTTCATCGTTCACTGACTTGTACATCAGAAACAATGCATGAACGACTTGAGGGGTCTCATCCTGCAGGCAAAGAACGAAACCCAATACAAAGCAGTATACAAGAAGTTCTCTCACTCCAAATACAGTCAGGTTCATTGTACACTGACTTGTACCGTTGGTCTTGACAACAACGCAGGTGACAAGGCACTCCGTTGATCACATCCAAGAGATGTAGAGATGGGAATCCCTTCTCAATCTCTAGTCGCTGTCAACTTGTAACATTCCCTTGGATGATTTCGCATCTTCTTTCTTCTCCCTCCCCTTGGACTTGAGGTTGTTGGCGATCATGAAAGATTCGATGCTCTCTGTAAGAGATGGGTTGCGTCTCGCGCACAACCGAACCTGTGAATGATTGATAAGTCTCACTGAACAAACACTCAAGTGCGAATAAAGACACAAGAAGTACATCTTCTATCTGTACCACACTCCTCTTGGCATGCTTCGCAAACATGATCATGTCTGAAGGCTCAGTATTAATTGTGGAACTGATAGATCGGCAATGAAGACCTCTTTCCATCTCGTCCATATATCCTTCTGTAAGCTCCATCACGTACTTGATGACTTCGGCTGGTACTTCCACCCCTTTCTCCTGCGCTTCTCACCGGCAGAAGTCAAACAAAAACGAAGATGAACAGGACGAAGTTGTCATCGGCGACAAATTCTCACCTACTTCATGTGAAATCCGAGAGACCAGGTAGTTCAAGTCTGTGAGATCTTCCTCTTCGTCATCGTCCCCCCTCTCCCTGTTCTTCTCTCTCGTCTCCTCCATGTCCTCTGCCCTTCGCTCTGCCATAATGGCGAAAGAAATGATCTAGAGCTGTGACAGATTTCTTCTAGAGTTGTTCTAGATTTAGGATGTCAGTCCGGCTATGAGCTTGTCTGACGGAAGACAAGTGTACTACTCTCTTTACTCAAAGTTAAGTTAAATCACTGAGAATTTGTATCTTCGTCCTACTCGGAAGGTGTTCTAGAAGTTGTTCTAGACTTCACGATATGTTCTAGACTGTTCGGGTCAAAGTCGTCGAAAATGCGCGATGGCAAGGACTGGCGAAGCATCGAGGTGAGAGAAAGGAAAGGAGGAAAAGAGATCAGACTCTGAGAGGAGGGGGAAAATTTCTCAGGAGACCCTTGGGAGTTATATCACTTGATGATGAGATTGGAAAAATTGTTTGGAATTGTGTTTGTTGTTTCCCTGAATGAACATTCTTGTTCTCCAGAGAGCCAGAGAGCGTCAGCAGGAGGTTGCTCGACGTGTGCTGTCGAAGCGAGCCACATCTCCGGTGAGATCGTACCAAAAGTTGCAGCACGCGTTCGCTGATTGTGTTGGATCGAATGCAGTCAAAGATTCCCATGGATCAGCGAAGCGCATTCCACGATGCGAGGGAGGTCTTGAACGATCTTCGGAGTGAGTACTCACTGTCTCTTTGTTCTAGCTCTTCACCATCCATAGTATCACAGTGCTGATGATCGTCTCTATTCGATAGACTTTGGCATTCTTCTCGGTATCGATCAATGGAGTCTCACAACAAGTCTGTGGGTCACTGGAATTGTGCAAGTGACAGCATTTTCCTTGTTGATCTCCAGCAGCTGGGTGCTTCCATGGATCATTCCCACGAGTACTGTAGGATTCGTCATGTCTATCGCCATGTTCCTGTGGTACATGAGGGAGCAGAACGAAACGGCCATCATTATCTACGTATGCCTCTGCGTTTGCATCTTTTTCATCGCGTTGGCAGATGTACTTTCTTCTCTTCATTCTGACCTGGCTGTGGATAATTTTGTGCGGCAGATCATCGTGGTCAGGAATCATGCTCATTTGCCTGAGTGTAGTTCGTCTTATCAGATCATAGCGCCAGCTATTGTGATGTTCGTGGAGCTCATTGCAAGCTTGGTCGCAATTTACATATGTGTATTCAAGACAACGTCTGTTGTTGAAACGCACATCATTGAACTAACATTGTTTGCAGGTACATTCCTCGAAAACACAAATCAAAACTTACTTTCAGACGGCACATCAAGCGAATATATGACAGCGTCATGCAGGTTTTCCCTTTATTTGTTTTTCTTTGTTGCCTGACTTCTTCGGCAGGGCATGATGTCTAGGGTAAAGAGATTTCAGAATCGATTTGAAAGTCAAGAGTACAAGGAGTACAAACAAATCGCAGCACGAAACATCACTTGGCTGAACGGCAGGTGATTGTGAGTGATCAAAATCTAATGGCAGCTCATGGAATCCATCAGATTCGACCGAACTCTTGAGATTGTTGTTGACATCTACCAGAAATTCAAAACATTTTTCTCCGATGTAAGTTATTTTTCCGTTAAAGTCGTATTCGGCATGTTGGTGAAGTGTTTGCAAAGGCACTGAGAGAAGCAGCAATTGAGGAGGTTGTTCTCCCCAGCTCGAAGGATGGAAGTTCAAGCAAAGACAATGAAGACGAAGGATTGGATGAATGACCAGGGTTGGCAGCATTCTCTGATTTATTCAATCTCGCTTTTGATCTTCTCGTTTTCGATTTATTCTTTCAATGTTACAAGTGATGATTGTCCTGTCGACGTCAACGTGTACAGACAGAGTCTCAGCAATGTGATTGCATTTTAAAGTACTCTAAGCTAAATAGGTTTTCTCATTCTCAAAATACAGCATTCCAAGTGAATCACTCGAGGCGCTAGTGGTCCAATCTCACTACCTTAGTGACATTTTCAGGATATCCCATGATCTTCTGCACATTCTTCCAATGCTCCAGCACTTTACATGAATCTATCACAATGTTCAGAGTCGATAAAGACTGACGGCAGGCAAACCTGCCATGGACTTGTTGATTTGTGCAAAATCACGATTCATCTCCTCGAAGGTATTTGCGAGATCCCTGTTGATAGTCAATCAGAGGCATGTTTTACATTGATGCAGAGATTGCCTTGTTTGCTGCTCAAGTATCTTTAATTCGATAACTTCATTCTCCTTCTCCGCAAGATAATGTTCGTATCCCATCTTGAAAACTGAAAAGCAACAATCAAAAGTGCAAATCAGGAAGACAGGATAAGGTATAACAATTCTCGAGATCGCGACTGTCAAAGTAGTTAGGTCAGCAAGTTTGACTGATAATGTGTTTGTTCCTATCATTTTCTCTCATGCCTCTGAGCCAAGCAATCCATTCTTCCACTATTTCAACCTTACGTTCTGTGAGGTCTGTGTTCTCTGCAGGTTGGTGAGGAAGTTGCAGACCTGTCACAACATCTGGTCTATCTTTCACATCATCTGGTCTATCTTTCACATCATCTGGTCTATCTTTCACAACATCTGGTCTATCTTCCACATCATCTGGTCTATCTTTCACATCATCTGGTCTATCTTTCTCCCATTCTTCTTGTCTGAGCTCTTCTCAGCCTATCACGCCCTTCCTAGCCCTATCTGGTCTATCTTTCACATCATCTGGTCCATCTTTCTCCCATTCTTCTTTGTCTGAGCTCTTCTCAGCCTATCACGCCCTTCCTTTGCCCTGCTTCCTTGCACGCCATTCACGCCGACATTTGAACTCACAGTCATGGCCCTCATCCCCTTGCAACCGGGCCCGGGGGACGGGGGCTGGGACGGGGGGGCAGACGTGGGGGACGCTAGGGCCCGGGCCTGCTCGTCGGCCCGGCAGCCGCTGGGGCCGGCCCTCGCGGCACCCGCCGGGTTAAGAACCCAAAGAACCCGGTGGCAGCTTTTACTCACAGTCGAGTTACTCAGCCTGTAGAGTGGCTCAAAGTTCAAGTTAAAAATCAGTACAGCGCCGGAGTATGGTCCGAGTCGGCCGTGGCCTAAGTGGCGGGCCGCGCGGCCGCACAAAGCCCGGCCCGGGCGCACTCGGACCGCGCGGTGACCCAGCGCCTCGGCCTTCCCGCCAAAAAAGTTTGTGGAACTTGCGCGCCACCGAGACTGGAATGGCGGCCTGGGCTGATCAGACGCGGGAGTTTCGTAATGCGATCCTTGCCTTGACAGACGAGAAGCAAAAAGAAGAGGTCAGTGAAAGTTTTCTGCAGCATAGCTGTACGTTGAAAGGATTTGTTTTCTCAGGTACGGCATAACACTACAAAACAAGAACTTGCAAATCTCGTGGCAGAATTCGAAAAGGAAAAAGAGCAGAACACATATCTAAAGGCAAGCTTTTTGAGCTCTCACGTCAAAATACAACACACTAATGGCGCAAATGGCATCTTTTTCTTGACTTTTTCCAATCGGCAGGAACAGCTAGCACTCGCAAGTGCTGCTGCTTTGACAGCACAATCGAAAGTAGAGAACCTTGAAAGGAATGAAAGTGCACTTCGCATTGTACGTTCACTTGAAATCATCTTGACATAACAATGAGCAAAATTCAAAGGCCTTGAAAAGAAATGAAGAAAAATTGAAAGAGATCAAAGAGAATCAATCAGAAGGTCAGATACAAGTCTGGGGGATTTTGAGAAATGTTCATTTGACCTCTTGTTATGCAGAAAGGATCAAGCTCATTGAGCGATATGACAAACTCATCAAAATGTGGGGAGGTCAAGAAGTGGTAGACCAAGATCATTCGATTGTGAAAAACTCAGAGAAAGATGATACTCTGAGCTCCAAGAACGAAAGTGACAGGTTCCTCTTCGATTTGCACCATCATTCGATATTTCTTGCATCAAATCATGATTTATCCGCAATTAATCAACTTCTCGCAGCCAGCTAGCTTACCGTGATGAGCAAAAGATATCAGAAGAATCTGACTCCACAAACAAGCTGGAGATGGTCTTTTTGCCTCTAACCCGGTAGAGGTGTATCTTGACAACAAGGTTGCATGCAGGCAGAGAAAGAAATTGAAATTGAACGTTTAACCAAGAAAAACGAGACGCTCCTCTCAGAGTTCAATCAAGCCATGCAGTCATCGTACTACATCGTGCAGGGTTGCTTATCACTCTCAAAAGAAATAGAAGAAAAAAATCCCGAAGTATTCGCGGTATGCTTTTCCCAGGATTCTCCATGCCCATGGACAGGTATTGATTTTCCTTTGTATGCGTGTGACTGTGACCATGCCGCAGAGTTCAACATGGAAGAAAATATCTCCATGATAAGCCACCTTTTGACAACCCATGGATTCTTACAAGTGGAAGAGGAAACTGGCTCTTGAGTCTTGAAGCACAGGTTTTCAGTCTCACTTGCATTTCAGTTCTTGTTTTGACTTCCTAAATGTTGAGCGTCATGTTAAGTGCATATCCGTCGCCCTCTGGTTTTAGACTGCTCTAGATAATTCTAAACTTCATTGTCTTTTATTCCCAATAATTCAATCTCGTAGATCAAATCTGCGTTTGGTGGAATTGGACCTCCCGGGGTACCAACATAGCTGCCAAAACCATGAGTAAAGAAAACCCACAAAATTCTGCAAGCGCTTCACAAACCTGTATGCAAGCTTTGCCGGGACGAATAGTCTCCGGATTTCTCCTACCGTCATCCCTCTAACACCCATGTCCCAACCCTTGATGACCCTCCCTCGCCCAAGGCGAAATTCAAGGTCGCCCTCGTCGAACTGCATGAGGTTTGAAGCAAGGGCCCCTTTGTAATGCACCACGACATTATAACCATCCTGTGGAAGCCACTCAGTACCTTCTGGGCCATCGAATCGTAGATGAACAATAGCATACCTCTGCACCTGGACCTTCCCCCTTCCGTAGATAATCAATCTTCAGCCCTTCATTCTCGCCTTTGGGGTCGTATATGTAACCCTTTCAAACAAGGTCAGCTATGAGCGCAAAACGATCTCGTCTACCTGGACAAGCGCTAAGCACATTATCGACAGCAGCAGCCTCTCCCTCCCTCGCCGCATGTCGCCGGTGACACCCATGGTCAAACTTGTTCGAGTTCTTTTTGCGGCACTGTGCGGACGGTATGAGTCACTGGCGCGGGCACGGTTAGAGTAATAATTTCACTTACCTTTACCCGCCCCTCGGGCTTGGTGCCTGCTTGGTGCGACCATGGCGGGCAGGGCAACGTGCTTGTTCGGTGCTCAATGCAAGGTGCAGGACGAGAATTCACAGCTGCATCGATGCACAGCATGCTCCAACATGTTCCATCATGTCTGCGCGAATGAATGGAGCGAAGTCTGGAATCATTGTGGATGCAACAAACGCCAAGTGGGGAAGGAGGTGGACCGGATTCAAGGAGCTGTCCCCTCGATACCTGAGGACCGGCTGGCGCAAGCAATTGCTGGGACAAGGAATAGCGGTGAGAGTGGATCAAACTCTGCAAATGCTGGCAAGAGGTCGCGAGTTGAAGAAGAAGAAAATGACGACGACGACGACGACGACGACGACGATGACAACGACGACGGAGAGGAAGATGACGACGGGGAAGAGGAAGAGGAAGATGAGGAAGTAGATGGAGATGATCCGATGATGGAGGAGGATCAGGAAGTTCAAGAGCTGATGGAGCAGCTAGGTGCGGGCAAGGACGGCAACCTTTCGCAACGCTCGGAGTTAGCCTATTTGGGTTCTGTAGGCCAATTGATTGCTTGGCTCTACGAGAAGAAACCGGTATGCTTGTCTGCCGAGTTCAAGAGATGCATGGAGTCCGAACCAGACTATAAAGGTCCGATCACGAAGAAGATCAAGGAGCTGCTGAAACGACAGGATCTCAATCCATTTAACACAAGGAAGTTCTCACACAAACAATGGTGTTCGTACATCAAGGATGTGATGAAGAACACACGTTTGAAGCTCTCATCATTCACGTCCTTAAGATCGGGTGTCAGGTATTTCTACAGGAGGCATCGCAAGACAAAGACATATCATAGGAAATTTGCTGCTCAAATCTCTCAATTTTACAAGATCCTTCACAACCAAAATGCTATAGAAAGGGAAGCGAATGCAGCAAAGAGAGCATCATCAGCAAAGATCCCATTACCGTTCGCGTTGTATGTCACGATGGGCGAAGCTATGCTTCCATGCAGGAGTATGGATGTAATTGTCAGCAGAACATATCTGATTCTCAGCTGGAATTTGTCTTGCAAATCAGCCCTCACAAGTGAGATCCTATTCCAACACTTGGGCTGGATGGATGATCATATTTGGATTCGGTTACCCGATAGCCGACCTGACCAAAACGTCGAACGGTTCGAAGCGAAGGCAATATATGCTAACCCCGCCCGCCCTCAAATTTGTCCCTTGCTCGCACTTGGAGTTTATCTCATCAGTCACACACCAGATGGTACCAAGTTATTTGCAGGTGGAGTTAAACTAGTCACGAGTATTGTGTGACATAACCACACCTTGGCAGGTCGAAATCAGTATCATCGCTTTCTGTATTGCATTCAGAACATAATGACGGAACCTGCCCCAGAGAAAGATTCATCCGTGCAAGAACGGCCCGGCCGGGCAAGAAAGTACGATATTAGTGCCATAAGAAGGGTTGTTGGTCTTCAGATGGGCATAATGGGTATCGCGAGGGGAAGTTTGTGCTTCAGTACCATCCGCAAGGTAAGTGATTGCATGCGAACATCGAAACACTCTTCATGGAGAGCTGACACGGCAGGGTTGGCAGGGTGATTCGAATGATGGAGGGATTGCAACAACTCAGTGTGAGTATGATGCTGCGTCGAATCTGGCAAAGAGCTCTTCTGGGCTTCCTCTTCATTCAGAGATTGTTCCCCCGCTCCCCCCAAAGTTCAGGGGAGTCGACGAGAAGACCTTGCAGATTGCAATCGAGACTTGCTTTCCGACATTACCCAAACACATGGCTGGAATCCTTGAGCATTGCCTGGCCAGCATCGTGTACCACTTCAACTACTTGAGTCTGCGGTTGGACCCTTGCCATCCTTTCTGGAGCAGTGCCTTGTTTCTGGAGCGAGGCTTGTTGGAAAAGCTCAAGGAAAAGGCATTCCTGCCCCAGACTCCGGAGGTGCCGAGGGTAAATAATGTCTGCGCTCAGAGCCAAGCTCCCCCCCCGCCTGTCGAAGTGCCCTGTGATGATCCCTCTAACCGTAATTCCTTGGACAATGTGCCCAAGGACGCAGCCTTGGTTCCTGAGCCAGAGCTGTCGGTGCAGTTGAAATCGTTGGAGAAGAAGATTGATGAACAGCGTGTTGAACTCAAGAGGATGTATAGATTGGGGATCGACGAGGTGATGAAAGAGCTGAATACTATGCACGAGCAATACATGCAAAAGATGCAATCAATGCAGCAGCAGATGAAACAAATGGATCAGCAGGTCAGCTGTTTGTTCAATCAGATAAACACGACACTGGAGAATCGGGAAGGTCAGGCCGTCAACCCGGAAGAGCAGGAGCAATTGCAGCGGCAGCGGCAAAACGTTGGATTCCAGCACCTGTTTCAACAGCAGCAAGAAATGCAAAGGATGTTCCTGGAAAACAATCAGCAACATTGGCAGATTCAGAAACAAATTCTTCAGAAGCTGCAGCAAAAAGGGCAGCAGGGGAAGGGCAAGGGACGGGGGCACGAGCAGGGTGGAAGTGCAGGGCTATCAGTGGAGCCTTCTGAGCTGAGCGCACCGTCGCAAGACTCAGAGGAATCGCAGGACGAGAGTTCAGTCAACGTGCGGTCGGAACCCATGAAGGTATCGGATGAAGCCGGAGTCATGATGAACGCCTGGACCCTCTGGCACTGCGGAAACCATCACAAAAGTCTGCCTCCTATGAAGAACTGGAAGGCGGCGCAGCTGTCAAGCCGGGCGGAGAGCAGGAGGCTGTCGGACATGAGGTACCTGATGAAGAACTTCCATCAGTTCATCAAGAGGAGCATCCTTGATAGCCCCTTGCACGAGTTCACCAAGAGCTTGGAGCTGGATCAGTTGAAAGCTTTCATTGACGGCGCCCCGTCGCTGCAGGAGGCGAATGCTCTGTTCAAGAAACATTCTGACAGGTTCCTGTCATGGACGGAGCGCGGAGAGGCCAATGAGAGCTATAGCGAGCGGAGTGGGCAGCTTTCATGGATAACCTACGTCAAGAAACTGCGGGTGAAGGAGAAAACAAGCCCTCAGGAGATGGAGTGGTTGTGGAAGAGTGAGGGTTGATTCCAGAGACTATCAGAGGGTAGACATACATTAGGATAGCTGTTTGATCGGAAACATGATTGGTGGTAGTTTTCAAATGGTCTGTCGGGTTTCAGAGCCTCTAGCAGCAGTAATTTTTGTGCAGATTGGTGACATCCTGTGACAACCTTGCGTTTCAAGTAACCTTGCAATACACTTGCATGAGACTGAACTCACTGAATGACTGCAATGACTGATTACTCTCATTCCAGCTGCATCATCGCACTTATGTCACAAGTCACATCTCCCATCCATGTAGCTCCAGGGATGTTGCCCCTGTGGTGGCAGTGCGTCAGGTTTCCTATATGTCCTCTGGTGCCCTCTTTCAATTCCCAATATTTCAAGTGAGGCGGACTGCAAGTGATTATGTAAAAGGCCTAAGTACTCATAGATAAGTAAAATTTGGATAGTTGTGTGGACTTTGAAAAGTTTGAAAGACTGGCAATGGCAGAAGCGTGCTTGGAGCAGTGGAAGGCGAGAACAGGTGAGAGGAGGGAGAGAGGGAGGGAGAAAAGAGAGAAAGAATGGAGGGAGATGGGGGAGGGAGGACGCGCATCAGACAGAAAGACAGCGACAGAGACAGAGACAGAGACAGAGACAGAGTCAGTGTGAGAAAGATGGAGAGTTAGAAAGTTTATCGAGCGCTCTGAGCATGATGGTGACTTTCTCAACCAGCCGCTGTCAGTCTAGCTCGGAAGGCGACTAGCCAGGAGGAGAGGAGCCTTGCCTTGAGGAGGGCGGCACTGAACGGGTGGTCGTCTACTTGCACAGCTCGAGTAGCAACTCAGAACGAACACAGAGGTCAAAACTCGTGTCTGGTACATCCCAGCGCTACTGACAAGAATCATCCTCGTCTCGTCTGTCCAGTCTCTTCGCCGAGGACCAGAGCGCCAACACGCACCGATGCATCAGTATCAAGACACAGCATAAGGTCGAACGAGTCTATGGTAGCCGATGCTCTCACTCCGTCTGGCCTCGTCTGATCTGATCCAGGCGTCGAATGTATCGCTAGATGCTGACGTTGATCAGAAGATATGGGAGCACACGGTGAAGAGAGCGCGTCGTGTGACCTCAGAGGAACATGTGTGATGTGATTGATAACAGGAAGGGAAGAAGGACCAGGAAGAAATGACAAAGCTAGCAAAGTGAGCTCAACATGCAAAGGTTCCTGCTCTCACTCGAGTTGCAGGAGGATGGAAAAACTGTCCAATCAAGTCGTGTACTTGGAGAGTAAGAACAAGATATTGGAGAACGAAAACAGGTGGAGATCGGTATTGGTTGTCATGAGATCGATCCTGGTGGTTTCAGGGCCCTGACCGCCCAGGCGACTGCAGACAGGCAATTAGCTTCATACGCATCGAGTTATTCCAGTGCTGCGGTGAGATGACGGGATTTTGATGAGCCTGACTGACAGCCCTCCAGTTACAGTCGCTGGAAGAAAAGAAAGCGCTCGAGAGAAAGTTGCAACAGGTACTTGTTCATGGTTCAAAGAGGAACAACTGACATCATGTCATTGGTCTCAGGAGGCTCTTGAAGCAGATGCTCTGCGCGATCTCTTAAGGATGAAAGATGATACAATCAGCGACCTCAAGGTCGTGCGAAGGCTTCCTTGCAAGTACTGACGATTCCTGGATGGCAGCGAGAAGCTGATGAGCATGCCGAAAGGATCAGCCAACTACAGGGGTCAGCAGCGGAGCTCTACTCTCCTATTCCTTACTCTTGCCTAGGACTATCGAGTATCTTCAGAGGAGAATGCAAGAGAATGAGAACGAGAAGATGTCTTTGAAGAAGGAAACAGAGAGGCTGAGTCAGGAGCTCGAGACCAAGGTTAGTCTCTGTGTCCGACGTGTTGAGAACGTTAATGATCACCCTTCAGACTACTTACAAAGATGTCGCGGTTCAAGCCAACCCGGACGTCATGGAGAAGTTGATCGAGAGCGACAGGTCTGGCTTGATGATCGTAAGTGTGAAATTCTCTGTGATGGTTGCCCCCAGCGAAATCTCTCACGTCAGCCTCGATGAGAATCATTTGGAAGAAGACTTCAAGTCTGCTGACTTGCTCTTTGACGAGTCTGGTAAGCACAGCTCTCCTTGCTATCACGAGTTCAAGTCTCTTGCTGTAGATGAGAGCACTTGAGGTTTCATGCTCAATTCCACTCGTGCCGTCGGGGAATTTCGTCTCTTTTCAACCCTAGCAGGATTTTTTCAGGATTTTTTTTGACAAGTCTAAAACCTGCATCCCATTGATTCATCTCTGATCAGATGCAAGAGCTTCACGTTGTTTCCATCAGGTGCGAGGGCTCGACCAGTGCTTGAAGTAATCCATAGAGCTCTCTGCTCAACAAGCATCAACCCTGCACTCTTCAAGCCTCCCTCTCCTACCGATCAACCCCTTCCTTTGCTCCAACGTCAGCTGCTGAGCATCCTCGAAAGAGATGGGCGAGGAGTCTGATCGCAGAACGTCAGGAAGGAGCGCCAGTCGACACCATCACCAAGGGAGTGCGACGTGTCAGCCCTCTTGAAGACCCACGCGATGCTGGCGCGAGGGTTGGAGGAGCAGGTCCTGTGACACTGGAAAGACCGTGAGACCTCGAGGGCGGAGGAAGCGGCTAACCTGGCAGCCCCAGTGTATCGTGTTGCCCATCCAGCCCATCGCCGTGCCAGCCCTCACGGGAGCCAAGGGAAGGACACCGGCGAGAGGGAAGCTATCGCTGGGGTAAGGAGGGGGAAAGTAGGGCAGACAGGAGGAGATGGGGACGAGGAGAAAATAACACTGAGGAAGGAGGAAAATAAAAGGGGGAGGAGGATAGAAGGAACACAACATCACCTTAAGAACGACTTGCCTGCCAACCAGCCCGATTGCTGGGTCGAAGAAGAACTCGTTCAGTTGATGTTCGCGAGCAATCGAGTGTTGAAGACCTGAACCCACATGTGCTGCATGACGTCATCCCGATCGAAGTTTGCGTCGAACTCCTGCAAGTCACAAGATCAGAGCCAACCGTTCGCATCACGTGGAAGAAGAGAAAAAGTCTCCCGGCCCTCAGAGGAAGTCAGGTCACATACGAACCTTCGGCACGACGTACATGCATCCATTCTCCAGCGTGACCTGCATGACGTCAGCAGATTTTCCTCGCTGACCTCAGCGCGTCAGAAATTTTCTTACGTCAGACACTGGAACCCAGATCGTGACAACTTTTGGTTGACCACTCGAGTCGTAGCTTCATTGCATGTCAGCAGCCCCTCCATTCTTCATCCTCCAACCCCGACCTGTCGCTGTACGTGTAGTCGCGGTGCGGGAGGGAGAAGTTGGTCCCGACGTAGCGATTCCCAGACTCTGCTCGGGGCGGCGGTCTCAAGGCAAGCTCGAGAGGCACTATGGCACTGACCTCCAGCCTTGTGGTAGTCCAGGTGATAGGCGGCGAACGTTGGTTCCAACACCTTCACCTCCTGTCAGGTCACTCCCGAGACCCAGTGAGAAGGTACACAAGGGCCCCCGATCAGTTTTTCTGCTGCTTCCCACAGCCTCAGCATCACCTAGTCGCCCTCGAGCATCAGCAGCAGCCAGTAACCTCAGCTGTTGTCACCTTCCACGGCTCGTCGTACATCCAGATGTAGAAAGTGGGGACGCCCGCCCGTCTCAGACTTCGCATGCCTGTGAGAATCAAGGCTGGCAAGTTTGTCTCTTGGCTCTCTGGCGATAAGAAGTAACCCTTCCCAAGGAGGCTCTCCCGGAGGGGGACGATATCAGCCTCTTCTATCCACGAGTCCTCTCCTCTTGACAGTGACGACAGGGAGCAGCTGACAGCCAGGACGTGATCTACAACTTCGCTCCACTTGTCGGGTCTCGTTTCACTTCTCCACCATTGCTCTCCCTGCGACTCGTGCTGGGCATGCGCCTCAATGCTCGTCTCTGCCGCTTCCTTCGCCTCCTCCGCTTCCTCCTCCTCGTCTGACGAGTCTTCGCCTCTAGCCTCCATCCGCCGCGCTAACTGTTTCAGCCTCTCGCTTAGAACATGGAGGGACCGCTCGGGATCTGAGTTCTTCAAAGCCTTGATCGCCGTCATGAGAACCTTGCGAAACTTGTCACATGGACATCGACCTATCAGCATCAGGCTACCGCTTTCTCCTCCCTGTCTTGCATTCTTGCGACTCGGCGGCAGACTTCGTTGGTGATATCCTCCTTCATCTTCATAGCCTTGGCTGCAAATCACGTCTGAGCATCCCCATGTATATTCCAAGATCCTTACCTGCCAACCCCTTGGCCTTCTTCTCGTCGAGTTCTTGATCAGCATTAGCCTGATAGATATCAGATCACGATAGCGGAAATAAGTTTATAGCCTCCTCTCTTCCTCTTTACTCCCCTACCATTCTCCTCCTTACTTCTTCCCATCTTTCCGCTCGTCTCGTACCAACACGCCCCGACACGCCCCTTTCCTCTCAGCTTCCCCCCTCGTCTCGTCTCGTCTCGTCTCTCCTCGTCCTCGTCCTCGTCCTCGTCCTCGTCCTCGTCCTTCCTTCCTCCTCCTCCTCCTCCTCCTCCTCCCACCTCTATCAAGCTTGCCGCCATCATCTGTCGCCGAACCCCAGCGATCCCAGCATTGACGGCCATCCTTGCACCCAACCAAGCAGCTCATCGCCCTCGTATGCTTACTCATCGCCCTCGTAACCAGCAGTTGATCATCTCCCTCATACCCGCGCCCTGATCTTCCATTTGGACCCAACCGCTATGGCAGTGAAGCGGAGGGTGAAGAAGGCGTAGGAGGAGGAGGAGGAGGAGGAGGAGGAGGAGGAGGAGGAGGAGGAGATCACCAGCATTGCAGGAGGCAGCTGAAGCGTCCGATCGAAGGATGGTTAACAGGAGGATAAGTCCTGAAGCTGACGACAGGCAGGAGGTCAACCCTTCTGCCTCGCCAGAAGCCCCACAGGAGCGAAGAGCATGGGAGTCGAGCATCGACAAGCATGGCGTCGAGGCGAACGGGCAAACTTATATCCCTCTCTCCGTTGCCCGAAACAAGATCGCGGAGGTGCAGGCAGACATGGCAGCTATGAAGGTCGAGCACATAGGAATCGTGGAGGAGCTAGAGAGGCACTACAAGGAGATCGAGAGAGATCTCCAGTCGTACTTCCTGGGCTACATCAAGAAGCTCAATGCAGCAGCGGAGCAGAAGGAGAGGGACCATCTCGATCTTGTGGACAAGATCAGTCAGGAAGCGGACGTCTACCGCGAGGTCGCTGAGCGTGAGGTTGCACAGCTGGAGGACGAGGTTCAGAGGAGCCATGAGGAGATAGCGAAGCGAGATGCGCAGATCGCTGACTTGCAGAAGCAGCTGGCCATACTGAACGAAGACTTCGATCGGCTCGGCCATGACGACCATGTCCAGATAGCCGGCTGCAAGACACGATCAGGAAGAGGGAGGCGGAGATTGCGCGACTACAATCCGCATGCTCGTCGATGATCCGCTCGATCCTAGTGGAGATGGAGAGCAACTTCAAGGTGCTGCCCGTCGTCTTCGCCGAGATGGAGGAACGAGGGAGGCACGAGGAAGGGCTCAAGGAGCGGAGCTCCCAGCTGAACCTCCAGCTCGAGCAGCGCAAGATGGAGCTGACGGACCTGATGATGGAGAGAGACGTCAAGGTGGCAGACTGTGAGAAGCTTCAGGCCTCCCTGGACTCAGACTCGAGAGTCTTCCATGAGCGCATCGAGGAGAAGGACGCCGTCCTGGCGAAGCTGAACGAGGAGGCCGAGGAGGCCAGGGCAATCTGTCTCAACCTGGTTCACACCATCAGCAGCATCCAGGCAGAAGCGAGGGAGGCTGGCGCTTCAGTCCGCGAGCTCGTTGAAGAGCATGCACACGTCCTCTCGATCAGCGAGGACACGCTCTCTCGGATCTCTCACCTTGAGAGCTGGATCCAAGACGAGCCCCGGCGAGTCGACGCTGCCGTCCTCGAGGCCCTCCTGCCCCTCGACACGTTCTTGAGCACAGCGTCTAAGCAGCTCGGCCTCTCTGCAAGAGGAGAGGGTGAGGCAGTGGAGGCTGAAGGTGGCGCGGAGGAGCGCACACTTGACCCGAGCTCGCTTGCAGCGCTGCTGACCTTCATGGAGAACTGGTTGGATAGTGAGAAGGAGAAGGAGGAGAAGAGCGCGTGGGAGGGGCCGCAGAGGCCGCATGGAGTCATCGCCTACACGCAATCATCATCAGGTGTTTTCCCTTGCTCGTTTGTCGTTTGTTGATTGACGTTGTTGCGATCAGTGGTAGAGGTGAAGGAATCAACCAGGACGGCGATCAAGTCCGTGTCGTCGCTGATGATCAAGAAGATAGTCGATCTCTCACAGCAGCTGAGCTCCAACAGCAGGCGGATGGAAGAGGCCTTGCGCGAGGATGTCGAGGCGATGCAGGCGTGCGGTCTGCTGGTGCAGGAGGAGTTGAGGGAGTGCGAGGAGCTTCAGAAGTTCATGGACGAGAACCAGCGGCAGCTGCTCTCGTTCAAGAGCAAGTCGGAGATCTTCGACAAGGAGATGAAGGCACTCCATGATGACATCAAGGTCTGCTTCGAGATGATCGAAGCTGAAGTCCCGAGCATCGAAAAATCGTTCTCCGACCTTGCTGCCGGCCAGATGGCGATCTCTTCCTCCGGCTACTCCAAGGTGCAGCTGAAGCAGGCGGAGGAGAAACTACAGTCGTTCAGCAAAGGAGAGGCAGAGGGCGCGAAGAACGCTGCGATCTCTTTGCAGAAGCAGCAGCAGAAACTCGCTGAGAAGCGAGGGCAGCTGGACGATGCTGTGAGCCGGTTGCAGGCGGAGAGGGAGGCGTTTGAGCAGGAGAAAGAGGAACTTGACAACATGGACACTGAGACGAAGGAGGAGTACCTACGGATCCGCCTGATGGAGTTTGACAAGCTGAAGCGGAAGCTGGATGAGAAGCAAAAGGAGCTCGACAGCTACATCGAGGCGAACTCGAAGATGCAGATCATCCTCGCGTCGACGGGGGAGAAGGAGAACCTGGACATGAAGGAAGTGCAGGAGATGATTCAGAGGCACACAGAGGAGATGGACGAGCTCAGAACGACGACTGAGCGCAAGATCAACAAGCTGCAGCTTGAGAACAGCCAGCTGAGGGAGTCGCTGGACGCGGACAAGGAGCAGCTGCAGGATGTTGTGGATCAGCTGCAGGACGACCTGGAGGAAGCGAACAAGAAGCTGGTGCAGTCCTACGACGACATCGAGAGCCTGAGCAACCAAGTCGAGGCGGAGCAGAAGAAGCTGTTCCAGCGAGAGCAGGAGCTCTACCAGGAGATCCTCGCGCTGAAGCAGGAGATTGCCAACCTGCAGTCGAAGGAGCTCATGGAGAAGGCACAGGAGACGGAAGCTCGTCATGCAGAGGCGCAGGAGGACAAGACTAGGATCGAGCAGAAGCTCAAGGACGCCAAGGAGCAGCTGAAGGTCGTGGAGACGCGGGACAAGGAGGAGGCGAAAGCTGCCGGGGTGACGAAGATGAAGAGGTCGGAGACAGCAAAGGATCTCTACTGGGAGGTAGAGCAGCTGTCGCAGGACCTCACTACAAGGAAGAAGCAGATACAGGAGGTGCTCAGACCCTTGTTCTCCTCCTCCACCACCACTTCCACCACCACCACCACCACCACCACTACTTCCTCCTCCTCTTTCCTCCACCGTCCTCATCCTCGTCCTTCTCCCGCTCGTTTGCTCCTCCTCCTCGCCTTTCTCTCCCTACACGCCTTCTACCTCTCCTTTTTGTCTCTCTGGTTTGTTTTTTCCTCGCTCGAGTCTCCCCGTCCTTGTTACTTTCCCCCTTCACACCTTTACGCCCGCAGGCGAACGAGACGCTGCAAGAGCTGAAGCTGAAGCAAGAGCAAGTCGCGGAGGAGACAAAAGTAAGAGAGGAGGGGAGGAGTATGGTGCGTCCTCACTCCTCCTGTCAGGCTCGAGTAGATGCTGAGAAGGAGGAAGCTGAGAAAGAGCACAAGTCGAGGATGGAAGCGATGGAGGCAGAGTTTGAAGAGCGAAGGTCAGCAAGCGCCTCCTCGATGCCTCTCAAGTCTTTGTGCAGGATCCAACTGCAGAAGCAGCAGCAGGAGAAGCAGGCGCTGCTCAAGAAGTACCAGGAGGCTGTGCAGGAGGTCGCGAGCGAGGAGCAAACGGATTTCCTCAAAGACCTCAAGGTTCATCAGGGAGGAGGGACGGAGATGAGGAGGGAGCGAGGGAGCGAGGGAACAAGAGAAGAGGGAGGGAGGGAGCGAGGGAACAAGACAAGAGGGAGGGAGGGAGGGAGGGAACAAGACAAGAGGGAGCGAGGGAACAAGAGAAGAAAGAGAGAGGAGAGGGAGGAAGCTGATCGCGTTGTCAGGATGATCTCATGGATGAGTCGGAGGAGAGTGGCTCAACTGCTGCGGCAGTGAAGTCGCAGCCCTCAGAGAAATCTTCTGCTGACAAGGCTGAGAAAGCTAAAGTGAGGAGCAATGATTTCCTTCCTCCCATCTCCCTCCGTCTGCTCTCTCTGTCTCTCTGTCTCTGTCCCTCCCTCCACTCTCTCTCTACCACTCACTTCCTTCTTGCTCTTGAAGCTATTGTTGTTTCTTTCTCGATTTCAGCCTGTCCTACTGTTCACCATCATCTCCAATTACCTCCTCCGTCTCATCTCATCTCCTTCCTCCTGGTTTCCTTCTCTCGCCTCCCTCTCTCCTCTCTTCTCCCCTCCCCTTTCCCTCCTCTTCTAATCTTCACGTCGATCAGGCCAAGGCACAGAGTATCCTGCAGCAGAAGAAAGAGCAGGCGAGCAACTCTCAGCAGAACGCCAACAACAACAGCAAGCAGGTCAGCTGCTGGGCCCTTGCTGGAGGGCTCCTGGCATCTCAGCTGACCTGGTGCAGCTGCGAGACGCGGAGAGGAAGAATCGTCAGCTCGAGGCCGCAAACTCGAAACTCCAGCAGAAAGTCTCTGAGGTGGGCATTTGCCGATCAGATCCTCAACCCTCCCTGTCTGTTGGATGCCGACACTTACTCCCTGCCTCCTCCTCCTCCTCCTCCTCCTCCTCCTCTCCTCCTCTTCCTCCTCCTCGTGCTCTCCCTCCTACCTCTTGCTCCTCTTCTTTTCCTCCGTTTATTCTTACCCTTCTTGTCCTCGTCCTCGTCCTTGTTTCTTCCTCCGCTTGCCTTCGGATGATTTCCGATATTTTCTTGCAGCTGGAAGCAAAGCTCGCAGACGGGAAGGCCGTGGGAGGTGGAGGTGGCACGTCCGGTGGGAAGGTCACAGACCAGAAAGCGAAGAAACTGGAGAAGGTTGGAGGAGGAGGAGGAGGAGAGGAGCAGGAGCAGGAGGGAGGAGGAGGAGAAGGAGGAGGAGGGAGGAGGAGGGAGGAAGAGGAGAAGGAGGAGGAGGGAGGAGGAGGAGGAGGGAGGAAGAGGAGAAGGAGCAGGAGCAGGAGGGAGGTGGGGTGCAGGGAGCTTGTTCACGCTGAATTCCATTGAAGGACCTGGAGAACATGAAGAAGAGGGAAGAAAAGGCCAAGGCAAATGCTGGAAACGCTGCTACCAGGCTGTCAGAGCTCGAGAAGGAGAATAAGAAGATGTCTCAGGTCTTCTTGTCCTCCCTACTCCTCCCTCCTATCCCTCTTCCCTCTCTCTCCCTCCTCTGGCCCTCTACTCATATCCCTCCTCCTCCCCGCCCTTCTTGCCTCCCCTCCCCTCCCCTCCCCTCTCTGTTCTCCTCTCCTCCCTCCTCATCAACCGGTCTCATTCCCCTGACGTCCCTGCAGGATCTGGACAAGAAGCTCAAAGAGAACAAGGAGCTCACTGACCGCGTCGAGCAGCTCTCAGCGTTCAAGGAGCGAGCAGAGAAGGCGGAGGCAGCGCTGGAGGAGAAAGAGAAGACGCTCAAGGAGCTGGAGGGAGAGTACAAGAAGGAGGTCGCCCTCCGCAAGAAATATTACAACCAGATCGAGGACATGAAAGGAAAGATCAGAGTCTACGCTCGTTGCCGCCCCTTCGCCAAGTATGAGATCGAGAAGGTTAAACTTCCTCCCCCTTCCTCCTCCTCCTCCTCCTCTCCAACCCCCCAACCCCCTCCTCTCCTCCTCTTCTCCACTCTCTTCCTCCTCATGCTGATC